AGAGAGGGTTTCTCTGTGTAGTTTTAGTGCCTGTCCTGGATCTCACTCTGTAGACCAGGCTGGCCTCGAACTCACAGAGATCCACCTGGCTCTGCCTCCTGAGTGCTGGGATTAAAGGCGTGCGCCACCACTGCCCAGCTGTGACAGCATTTCAAGGCATGGTCTTGCTATTAAAAAAAAAAAAGTCTCATTTTCTTCCCATCTTTCCCATCCTCCACCCAACCTTAACAATGAGCTACTAGTACCTATGGTTTTTTAATGGCTTCTGGTTTTGTCTTTTGTACACTGGATAACTTCAGCTCGTGGTACCAGAACAGGTTGCATTGGTGTGACTTGAGGCTATAATTAGGGCCAAGTTACTCCCTAATACCAGTTAGCATGGCAGCGCCTGCTCAAGAAGCAGCTCTTACTGTGAAATAACTTCCCCACCGACATTTCCTGCTAGTTGAACCTGTGACCACACTCCTGCATATGTAGATATGTGGGTCCCATGTTTTATGTGTGAGCACAGGGAGGCTGCTAGAGAAGAAGACATGATCTAGGAGTAAGGGGGAGAGAACCCACATTCACTGCCATGGCAACAATGGCTGGTGCATCAAGAACGGCGGCAGCTCTGAGGTTCGTGCCCTGTCTTCTTCTAGCTCTGTGCTGTCACAGAACTCATTCCCTGGATTTTTCTCACCTCTGGTTTCCATGATCGAGTCCATGGCTGCAGCTTCTGCTGTATGAATTGTCTCCTCAGGTGCCATTGCTATTCTATGCACCAACTAGCTCTCAGACAAGGCTCTGGCCAAGTCTTCCAAAGGTCTGCAGCCTCATACTGCTTCTAACCCTCTGTTTTCCCAATATAGCCTCTTTGGTTTCTGAACCCTTTTATCTGCTGAGTAATTCTTCTCACTTAATTCTGCCTGTAAGGGGCATTGACATGCATTGCCTAGTGGCAGGTATACATTCTGGAGGGTGAATGCCTGTATAATTTTTGTCATTGTGTGAATATCATAGAGCATGTTTCCATGCACCTCGCTGGCATAGCCTATTATCCTACACCTGGGCTGTACGGCGTGTACGTATGGGCTCCTGGGGTCCAAGTCGACTAAAAATGTGAGAATAGGTGAAGCACAATAGCAAATCGTACAATCAAGGCACATGAACTTGAGTGTCTGGGGCCACTGCTGGCGGAACAGCAAACTTGTACCGAATACATTTTATGAGTAGGAGTGCACTCTAAAATATATCAGCTACATGAGCCAATAACAACTGTTGATTGTCAGGTCTCAGGTCCTGTCCAGGCTACTACTTTTCACACCAGCGTGCATGGTAGGTTTGTTTGCATCAGCTTTCCCACAAGCATATGATAATAAGTTATGCTTGTGTGTGTGTGTGTGTGTGTGTGTGTGTGTGTGTGTGTGTGTGGCGACGTGGATGTGTGTGTGTGGCGGCAGCGGGGGTGGGATGGGGGTGGGGTGTTCCAGATCCATGTAATCTTAGGGAGTTGCTATTATATCTGCAGCCCAGAGTCAGCTGAGATGTCACTATGTGGCACAAGGCTATATA